CTCCTTGTCCCGCCTATACTTCCTGCCTAGCCAATGGCCAATCAGTGATTTATTTATTGACCAATCAGCAACACATTTGACATACAGACCATCCCACAGCAGTTCCTGGTTCACCATCCTCACTGGATCCCCACCAGAACTCCTCTTGGATATCCCGTGGCCACCCTGAGTCACAGAGATCCTGTAGTTATCATTCTACAGGATCAGTCCCTTCATGAGCTCCAGCAGGTCCTAGATGGTGCAGATGTTAGGGTGGGCCAACCCCAGGCCTGGCTGTGGTCCTGGGTGGTAGCTGAGCTGGTCAGTCCGGGCAACTGGGACTGCCTGCCTCAGGCAAGGGGGCAGAGCCAGAGCTAGTTCCCCTATGCCATGCCATCAGAGTTGATTCTCCCTTACCTGTGGTGAGGAGTGGGGCCATCTCTCCCAAGTGCAGGGGGCAGGGGACGACTCTCCTGTGAAGATCAGGGCTAGCTTTCTTGCTGCAGTATCCAGTGAGGGGCAGGACCAGTGAAGGGCAAGGCCAGCTTAGCCTGGCCCTCTGATTTCATCATGCATGGTTCCTATGCTCCCCTGGGTGACACAGGCCACAGACATCAACACAGACCTCAGCTGCAGCAGGACCACAGACCCAGACATGACCCTCAGCAGCAGCTGGGTCTGGATATTACCACTGCCCCAGGCAACTCAGATCATCACAGTCCTAGAGGCAGTGTAGCCCTTGGACACTAATACAGCCCCAGACCTCGGGCATCCTCGTGGCCTTCAATGGTAACAGAAGCCTCAGACATCAACACAGACCCCGGCTTACAGACCTGGGTGCAGTAGGGCCACAGACCCAGACATGGCCCCCAGCTGCAGCTGTGGCCTGGATGTCACCATGGCATCGGGTAGCAGCACAGGGCACTCAGATCTGTATAGCCGCCCCCCCCCCCCCCCCCCCGCCAGCTGCAGCATGGCCCTGGGACACCAACATGGACTCAGGCGGCAGCTGAGAGCCTGGGAATCCTCAAGGCCCTCAATGGCAATGGGAAACATGGGCATCAACACAGTCCCTGGCTGCTGTAGGGCCACAGACCAAGACATGACCTTTGTCAGCAGCCCAGCCTAGACAACATCATGGCCCTGGGTGGCACCACAGGTCACCCAGACCAACATGGCTCCTGCTGTGGCATACTCAGACACCAACAAGGTCACAGCTTTCAGCCCAGACCCAGGGCTTCTGTGTGGCCTATGGTAGCAACATGGGCCATGGACATTAACACAGACCCTAGCTGCTATAGGGCCTCGCATCCCATATATCTTTATCTCTCTGTTTGTTACATTAAAATTTTTTATTTTTGTTTAACATGTATGAGTGTTTGCCTGCGTGCATGCTTGTGCACTCCTTCATGACTATTGCCTGCGGAGGCCAGAAGATGGTGTCAGATCCCCTGGGACCAGAGTGATTGGCATCTATGAGCAGATATGTGGTGCTGGAAACCCAAGTCAAGTTCTCTGCAAGTGTTCTTATGCTGAGCCGTGTCTCCAGCCCTTATCTGCTACATTTTGTTTACACATTCATCCGATTGAATGGTGTTGGGTTTCTCCCACCTCTTGGCTGTAGCAAATAATGCAGTTATGAGTTTGCATCTGCAAACAGTTCTTCAAAACTCTGCTTTCAACCCACTTGGGTAGTTTCCAGAGTGAAATTGCTGAATCACAGGGTGGTTTTTTGTTTTGTTTTTTAATCTTTTGAGGTGCCACCATACTCTTCTAGGGCTTCTCAATTGCGCTTATTATGTTCAGTTAGAAAGACAGAAGGCAAGACAGAAGCTGATTCTCAATACATAAACCACACAAATCCCAGGGAAGTACCCTAGCCATTGGTATAACCAAGGGGCTTAAAGAACACCCAAAGCAAATGCAGGCGCAGGCTTCAGGCGATTTTCCTGAGAGGAGGAAAAGCAATTACTGACTAAGCTCCATGAGGAACTAAGTGTTTTCTACTGGGAAATATTTATCTGTTTGGTGGAGCTGCAAGTTGTAGGGAGTTTCCTCATTAGGAAACAGCTGATGATTCCAGGAGAACTTGGAAGAATCACCATGGTGATGGAGAATGACCCATTTTTAAAGTGTAAGGCCTATTGTGAGTGAAACTTGAAAAGATTCTTCTGGTAGAGCTCTTCTTTCATTTTTGTGTTGGACATCAGATAGGAAATAAATAGCATTGTTACTATATCTGCACTCCTCCTGAAGCCCGATGGACCAGGGAGAACCGTACGTCACCTACAGAGTCCAGTCTTGGCTTGGTGTCTCCCTCGCTGTATGACTGAGGAGGCCACTTAACCTCTTCAGTCTCAGAGGGCTGACTCGGAGTCCACAAAGTGGGTTTCACATGTGGATTACTTTTCTATGGTTACTTTGGCCACTTTTTGTTTCGTATTCATTTTCTCTGAAACTTGGCTATCAAGCATGCTCACCATTAGGACTCAGTGGGGAAAGAGAAAATGAGATAAAAGGTGCCGACGGGTGAATACATTAGCAGGGGTCATTGCCAAAAGTCCTTCCACTGCTTAGCTTGGACTTCACGTGCAAGGAGGTGAGCTGACTCCACTGTCTACTTGAACGCCCTTCTGCCATCGGCCTGGATTGTCTCTCTCCATTTATTCTTGCCTTGTCATTTTTTTCTCCTTCCTCTCATCCTCTTATCCATTTCCAGTTGTTTCACTTGATGGTATAAATAATTCATCTTATTTAATACTAACCACAACCCAATGAGTGGGATAATGTTGACTCTCCTGACACGTGGGGAAAGTGAAGTTTAGAAAGGGTAAGGGGTTGATGTAGAATACAAGTCCAATTACACACAGAATCCACACTCTTAAATAGTGTGCCCGATGATTAAGAAAACTGTTTTTGAGGCCAGGTGGCACTGGCGCTCAATCTTCAATGTTCACGGGGTTTAGGCAGGAGGATTGCAAGTTCCAGGCCAGCCTGGATAAATTAGTGAGACATTGTCTCCAAATACAAAGTAAAAAGAGGGCTAAGGTACATCTCATGATTAGAGCATTTGCTTAGCATGCACAAGGCCCTGGGTTCAATCCCTGACACTGCACACACACACACACACACACACACACACACACACACACACACACACACAAACACACACAATATATTATATATATATATGTACAAAATATATTATATATAATATGTGCATATGTGCAACTGGTCTATAAGTTCTTCTGTATTATCTGTGAGATACTGCCCTTCATTATCCAAAGAAATGTTAACACATTTACTTTTGAAGCACTTCCCTTCTGTTCATTGGTCCTTTGCAGGACTTTAATCGATTTTGAAAAACTAGAATCTTTGTCTCTTTGGATTTCCTTTCTCTCTGCTACATTTCTCTTGCCAAACAGAGCTGTAATTGTCAGCTTGTGCCTTGACTTTACTGCTTGCCGGTGACATAATTGGAATGATATTAAGCAGCATTTTCTCTCTGCAGACAGAACACCTTTCTGTTCACATTTGCTCTTCCTGCCTCTCATTTACAAGCAGATGACTGTAGATAGAGTATGCTCCTGACTTCTTGTTTCTGCCCTGGATGGATGACTGGTGCAGGTATTTATAATGCAATGGAGTATGTGATTCTGTTAAAGGAAATCCATGCAAATTGACAGCTGGCTAAAGTGACTGCTGTGTCTGGAGTCTCAGCACAACTCTAATGGTAATAGGACAGTGTTAGCGTGATTGCATATTTTGTGTGAATCCTGGTGGGAAGGTAGCGTAATCCTTAAGACAGAGGCAGATAGAAGAGGCTGAGGGCTTGGTAAGCTAGGAAGGTTCTTTCCATAGGTTCTTAGGATGGCCACAGGAAGGTCAGATCATAATGAGAGGGGCTGAAATGTAAATAATAATAATAATGCTGACTATTACACTAATGCTAATAATACTAAGACTGTCAATCGGGCGGAAGACGGCTCAGCTAATAAAAGCCCTTGCAGTGCAAGCATGAGGATGTGAGTTCAAATCCTCAGAACCCAAGTAAAAAGCCAGGTGCAGTTGTACACCCATAACCTCAGGGCTTTGGGGAGATGGAGACAGGAGACTCTCTGGGGCTTGCTGGCTCTCGGCCTCTGTCTAAGTATGGAGAGGAAACTATACCAAGGGAATAGGGAGGAGAGTGACAGAAGGGGATACCTGATGTTCTCCTGCAGCCTCCATGCACAGGCTTACACACCTACCTGCCTACATACACACACACACACACACATATATATGACACACACATATGTATATATATGACACACACACACCTTGCACAAGCATGTACACATACAAAAAAAAATAATGTTGGTCTGTAATGAGGGTTCACCATGTGCTAGATTCTGGGTTTTATTATTTTATATGTATTATCTTATTTAATCTCAGTAACTTCAGATAAGTACTATTATTGGTACTGTTTTTATGTTATTATCAACATTTAGACAGATAATATCCACCAGTCAATTATGATAATCTGAACTATAGATAATAATTTAATCAAGATATTTTCATCAACAGTTTATAGTGAGGGGGAAATTGAGACATAGATAAATTAAGTAACTTATTTGTGAACACACAATCAGCAATGATTTGTTATATTTAATTAATTGATTTTTTAATCATTCTGGAAATCAAATTCAGGGCTTTATGTATGCAAGACAAATGTTCTATCACTGAGCTACATTCCTACCTCTGCTCTATGCTTTTAACACAACATTCATCAGTCAGTGTGCTTTGAGTCCAAGGAACAAGGCTCACTTGGAAAAATGCATTTGAAGGGAGTGGTGGAGAGAGGCATTGTGTGAAGGTCCCTCCCAGTTCTTGTGTAATGGTTCAGAACTCAAGCCAAACAGAAAGAACACGTTAGGGTGGTCCCTGTGGGTAGATCCCAGCACAGGAGATAGGGGCAAAACGGTCTAAAAAGTCATATGATGGTCACACCCTGTCCTTGGCATCTCTTCAGTATCTTTCTCCTAATTTTCAGGCTGTGGTATTGCATAATTTGCATATAACAGCCAGAGATAATTTTCTGCTTAAAACAATTAGTCATATTTTAGATTGGATCCATTTGACAGAGAAAAAGTCGTCTCTCAAGTGAGCAATTCATTCTGTTAGTGGCAGGGCTTGCAGAGACATTCTTGCATGCCATAGATCAAATGCTTTTCCAGAGACGGGACCCCTAACCCTACCAGGTCTTGCTCCAAAATCACGTACCCTCAGCACAAAGTTCACTCAGAGTTCCACCACAGTGTTTGAATGCAATTTTTATGAAGTGTCTTTTATTTCGTACTTTGTTACTCTGTAACAAATGAGTCATTGATTTTTCAAAAAAATTTTAAACATATCCAGAACATTTTCTTTTCTTTTTGTTATTTGCTTTGAACAGACACTCAGAAGCCAAGAGCTAGTAACCCTAAGCTCTCCGGCCTGCTTAGCCTTTCTCTGTTAGGATCCTTGTGACTCCTTCGAAGAGCCTGAGCCACACAGTCAGCCAAGGTGCTGACCCACCAGCATGGCGTCGTTTATCAGTCTTTCCAAAACATCGCCCAGTAATTCTTTTTGAAGACGTTCCGGGAAGGCCTGGAAACAACAGTAATGAAAAAGGAACTTTAGGGACAATCCCAGTTCTCTTTGTGATTTATGAGATGCCTTGGAAACCTATCCATGTGAGTTTAATCAGGGAAACTGACTGGAGCCTCCATAAAACCGTGGTTGGGTCCAACTCCCCCCTGCCCCACCCCCGTAGTCAAAACCAGATTCACTTGATGCCAAACTGTTTTCTCATATCCAGGAGTGGCCAATGAGACCAAGGGTAAGAGTGAGAACTCATCGAGGCTTTCACAGCATTCCAACAAACTGAAAAAAAAACACAACCTGTGTAAGAATGGAAAAAAAAATGGGGGAGGGGGCGGGAGGTGTGTTGGTTGGTTAGAGCGCCCCCATGTGTCTCAACACCTCACTATTGCTTTATGACTTTTTCTAACCCCTGTTCCAATGCCATCCAGTAGCCTTCTCTTCCTTCACATACATTTTTAGAGCCACACATGAAGCTCCTTTATTTTTAAAAGAATTTTATTATATTCATTTATTTAGCGGGTACCTGTGGAGGCCAGAGGACAACTTGCAGGAGCTGGTTCTCTCCTTCTATCTTGTGGGTCCTGAGGATTGAACTTGGGTCTTCAGGCTTGGCCACAAACGCCTTTTCCCGTCAAAGGATCACGTTGACCCGGGTTGGCCCGGGTTCCTTCCTCTTTCAGTGGGTATTAGTTTGAATTTCAGGAGTGATTGTCTTTTCTAAGAAGCTATAAACATAAAGTGTCTCATTTTCTAGAGTGTCCTGGTAAGCAGGCTCAATAAACGCTTGCTTATTGAAATTCCAGTGTCCTACTCAAATTGGAAATAGTACAAATGCCCATCAATGAATTAATTAAAAAAATTATAGTACATCTATGCAGTAGGTACTAGTTAGTAATAAAAAGAAATGAACTCTTGTTATAGACAATAACAAGCTTCAAATGATGAGATTCATATATGTGAAATTCTACATGGCAGATGCCAGATCATTGCCAGCCAAGGATTTGGGGACAAAGGGACTAGAACTGGTTATATAGGAAGCTTTCTAAGGACCTACAGATGTTCTGCATCTTACTTGATGTCCAGCATCTGACCCATTGGCTGCTTTTTCGAGGTCATGGGCTTGATTCCCAGCACCTACATGGCAGTTAAAAATCATCTTTAACTTGCCGGGCGGTGGTGGCGCACGCCTTTAATTCCAGCACTCGGGAGGCAGAGCCAGGCGGATCTCTGTGAGTTCAAGGCCAGCCTGGGCTACCAAGTGAGTCCCAGGAAAGGCGCAAAGCTACACAGAGAAACCCTGTCTCGAAAAACCAAAAAAAAAAAAAAAAAAAATTAAAAAAAAAAATCATCTTTAACTCTAGTTCCATGGGACTCAACACCCTCTTATGGCCTCCCTGGACATCAATAATGCATGTGATGCACAGACATGCATGCAAGCAAAACATTCATACACATATAAGAGCAAATAAATCATTTTTTTAATTATGGAATTTTATATTTTAAAAAGGCGAGGTTTACTATATAAAATTACACCCCAATAAGCTTTGTAAAAGATTTTCAAACTCATGAAAACATAACCCCTCCAAGTTACCTTCTTGGCCTCCTTTTAATCTCCCATTTGAAACAGACACCCGGTGAACTCTCAGAGAGTTTGCAAGATCAGCTCAATACAAGGCCCCAGGGGAAGGGGGGGTGGCAGACTGCATTCCAAAAGGCCTGCTCCGCCTCTGCCCTTCTGGGACTGGGACACAGAGTCTCTGTGGTATTTGGATAGTGAAAAGGACAACATCAAAGTTCCAAGCCAGTACTAGCCCTTCCTCTTTTAATCAAGAGTACTGTCCTTGAGTCTGGCAATGGGGTCTGGACCCTGAAAAACCACGCTGTCTTTGTACAAGACAGTAGACCTCCTGGGTAGAGCCGGTACTTTGTACAGCCCATCTAGGAACTTCTGGACTGATTCTCTGCCCCAGGCAGAATCTGAGGATGGATCCTGGCAAACGATTTTGGTTCCCACAGCCCTTAATATATTCTTCAATGTTCCTAATGTTAGTGACCTACAAACAATGATCCGGGCCAGTGGTTCTTAAACTTCTGGGACTCAAGAGTCACCCGAGGAGTGTATTTCTAAATGTCTGTCCCCAGTGCCCACTTGCACCATGAGATTCCGATAGGAGTGGACTGGGAGTGGTCTTTGAACCCTGCACCTCAGGTACACACTTTGAGAAGTAATGATCTGGACTAGGGAAAGACTTAGTGAAGTGTTTGCCATACAAACGTAAAGACGAATTCAGAGCCCTAGGAGCCGTGTAAAAAGCCAGGTGTGTGTATATATTTTTTTGGGCTGACCATTTGGTATTGGGTAACCAACTGGTGTGCTCTTCCCTGGGGAAGACTGTTTCTCCCACTCTCAGCCTTCCTTAGTTCTTTGTAGCTGAGACCTCATGAGCTGTCCCCATCCATGCCAGCATGTCTATTAGTATTGTCCTTGTTCAGTTCATGTTTAGGCAGTCAGAGCAGGTTGTATGCATATAGTTAGGAATATGTAAGAACACACACCACACACACACACACACACACACACACACACACACACACACACACACACACGCATGCACATTCATGCATGCGTACATAACAACAATTAATGAAAAAAGAGGACATGAGTTTGAAAGAGGTCAAGAAGGGATATACGTAAGGGTTTGGACTGAAGGGAGGAAAAGGAAGAGGGAAATGATGTAATTATAGTCTCAAAAATAGAAGAAAACAATAAAAAAAAACAAACACCAAAAAACTAGGTGCAGTGGTGCATGGTACTAGGATTTCTGTGAGTTCCAGACCAACCTAGTCCACATAGCAAGTTCCAGGCCAGGCAGAGCTACACAGTGAGACACTGTCTTAGTAAAGAAAGAAAGAAAAGAAAGAAAGGAAGAAAAAGAAAGACAAACAAACACCAGGTGCAGCAATGGAATCCTAATGTGGGAAGGTGGAGACAGGATCCTGCAGACTTGCTGGCCAGCCATTCTAGATACAAGAGTGAGGCCCAGGTTTAGTGACGGATCCTGTCTCAGAAAATAAGATGGAAAAATTATTGAGGAAGACTCTTGGTATCAACTCTGGCCCCTGAGTGTGTGCATACACATCACAGATAGAAGAAGCCACCTAAGGACAAGAAAATGTCAGGCTATTCACTGGAAACATCTGACCCACCAAACAGTCTTGAGTGGCATTAAGACTGGGTCTCTTAGGTTCAAAGTTCACCTCCAATCCCATCATCTCTCTGCAGGCTTGTATTCGAGGAAGTAAGATCAAATGAGCTAAGCTTCCAGAGCACTTACAGTAAGCACCAGTGAGCATTAGGTAAATATCATTATCATTCTGTCTGGATCAATGAAGGCTGAAGGGAATATCGCAAACCATGAACAAAGACAGTCACTTCAAAGAGCTTTTCATTCAAAGTTTAGGCTCACTGAAGGCTTGACGTGGTAGTGGGAAATATAACCACTTTATGCATTCCAGCTTCCCCACATTCCAGATATCCTTGTTCTGTTTACATGTTTAAGATAAAACTGAAAAAAAAAATATAAGCTGGGCTTAACTGTACCCCATTTTGATTGATTAATGAGCCTATGACAACTCACATATATAAGCCAGATCATCTTTATAAGCTACCTTAATCTTTGGTGATACTCAAACAAAGCTGCAAACCAGCATCACATGTACAGCTTTTGAAAGCGCACACTGGCTTGGTAGAGATTAGGGTGAGGCCAGAGGCTCTGAATTTGTTTGAAGTTCCCTCCATGCTTTGGCGGTTCATTCTAGGAAGAGAAGTGCCCCACTTGGATGAAAGCGGGCATGCCTTATTTGTTTAAAAGATGTATCAAACCAGTTGGGCATAGTGATGAGTACTTGTAGTCCCAGCTACTCAGCAGGCGGAGGCAGAAAAGTTGGTTTAGCAGCCCATGCAGCATATTGAAACTTCAAAATGAAACAAGACCCACCCACAAAACAACAACAACAACCTCCCAAAAATCAGGGACCAAACACATTAAATAACTTGGCCAAATTTCACTTAGCAAATCATTTGCAGAGACAGGAGTTGGAATGTTGTTGTTATAGTCAGAAAAAAAAAGTTTAAAAAGCAACCAAATTGATTTCTGTACTCAGCACACATAGACTTCTTTTCTTGTCATTCCTTGAAAAAGTACAGTATACTTAGCTACTTAGATTGTCTTATAGCTCCTTATATTGCATTAGGTATAATAGGTAATCCAAAGATGATTTAAAGTATATGGAAGATGTGTGTAGTTTATATGCAAATATTATGCAATTGTATACACTAGGCTTGAGCACCTGCAGACTTTGGTACCCAGAGGGCATCCCTTGCTAATCGTAAGGAACCACTGTAATTACAAAGGTAATACCTTTCCTTCATAGTTTATATACTGTAAATAACTTGTATAGGCCAAGATAAATATTGTGGATTCCCCTCCTTATTTGTTCATGAAATAATGGTTTGATTGAATGCTGAGCGCATTAGATTGGAACTGCTGGTTTGGGATTTTGAATTCTTTTCAGATTCCATCCTTTATCTTTCTGTCCACAAATCTCTGTTTATTGATTATTGCCATTAAGTCCCTGGAAGTGTAAGGGGGAGTTTCTCCTGCGGACCCTGGATCAGATCCCTCAGGGAAAGATGATCATGCATTTGAGGACTTGTCCTTCTCCAATCTTAGAGCAAAAGAACCTTCAAGGACCATAGTTTCATCATGAACAAATCCAAGATAAACTGGCACGTGAAACTAGGAAAATGAGGACCCCATTAGACCACGAACCTAAGGATATTATTATCCTGTGAATCAGGATCACAAATCACCGAGACACAAATACGACAGACACCCAAAAGGCCGTTCTAGAGGCTCCCAGGCAGTGACATTTAGGTGGCCTCTGGGCTGAAATTCTTGTGGATTCCCTTTTCGTCTTAAAATATATGTAACCTATGAAGTCCCTTAGGATCCATTTTCCTTAGTATTTTATCAGAGAAGAAAATCTGTCAAATTAAAGTCTGCTGTGGATGGATGGGGGTGGGACCGTGGCTAGGGCTCACGAGATATTATTCTGCTGAACTTGAGCCATGGAGGCAAATTAGGACAGTATCATTTCACATGCAAAATGGCCTGGCAGGCTGGAATTCCTGCCCGAGGGCCTTCACACACCACGACCTCTAGCTCATAAAACAACCCTGTTATTTAGTTACTTCTTGGCACCCATCGGCTGCTTCCCTTTAGATTTCCTGCTGATCATTTTTTCAGTATCCTGCCTTTGCGTTCTCCTCTGGGCTTTGCAAAAATTCTGTTTCTTTTTCTTTTTAAAGCTCTCTTTTAATCAGATAGCTCCTGCTGGCATGAGATGTCAGAGGTATTCCTTTCAGTGGATTCTGGCCTAGGCGGCATTACCTTGGCAACAAGATGCAGAGGCAGAGCCCTGGCCTTGAGCATGTCAGAGTCTCCAACTAGGAGAACTCAGCACATCTCACTCTCCAGCAAGGCAAGTTGCCATGCCAACCATTAACAATAAAACTCATCTCTCTCTTCTAGGGTTTAATTCAATAACTTTTCAAATTGGTTCCTTCTGTAATTCAATTGGCTTGGAAATGCAATATATGAGTGTATGTGCACACGTGTGTTTTTAGCCAGTTGTTAATGGCCTTCCACTAAATGACTGAACACTGGAAAAACAATTGGGGTCAAAAGTTCATTAAAAAAGTTAAAAAAAAAAAGACTAATAATAATAAAATAAAGTAGCTCTCAGTCTAACGAAAGGAGCCTGAAATTTTGGAAGTCTTGGCCAATCGGTAACTAGACAAAAACAGAAGAGATGACCTTTGCCCTCAGATATATGTGCATGACTTCTGTTGGCACAGCTGCCTTGCCGGCTTGATACCTGGAATAGCTGGACTCCTCTGCGTATTTAGAAATCTTTTAGCAGTTTTGAGTACACAACTAATTTCAAGTTCTTAAAAGCACTCCTGTGTTCAAATTCACACTTCATTTCCTTCATAATCAGAAATTTCTGTAGGAATTCATGGCCTTAGAGAGTCTTTTGACTCCAGTGACCTTCAGACAGGGATTGTGTGGCGTCCAGGACCTAGAATAGCCAGGGGACAGAGTTCTCAAATGTACTTGTTTTGGGACATCTATGTCCTTACGTGCTGTACAAGTGTTTGCTTATGTTTCTTCTCTTTTAATCGACTTATTTCAGTTTCTATCATATGCTGGCTGCTCTCTGCTCCTCTGGATCCTCTGCCACCAGGCACGTTTTTAGTTTCCAGCAAACAGTATATGAGAGCTGGTGGCTACAACCAGGCAGTGGTCATCAGAAACACTGCAGTATCCCAGTGACCACTGGAGGCATGGGGTGTCTGTATACTGTGCGAAGATGTATTGGTGTGATTGGTGTAATAGAAAGCTAAATGACCAATAGCTAGGCAGGAGGTATAGGTGGGACTTCTGGGCAGAGAGAGAACTCTGGGAAGAAGAAGGGTAAGGTTGCCAGCCAGATATGGAGGAAGCAGGATGGGCAGTATGGAGATGCCAGGGAGACACTGAAGAGGTCAGACATACAGTACAGAGTAAAGATAACCAAGCCACGTGACAGAAAATAGATCAATATAAATGGGTTAATTTAAGTTATAAGAGCTTATTGAGAACAAGCCTAGGCTAATGGCCAAGATTTCATAATTAATAAAAAGTCTTTATTTCATTATTTGCAAACTGGTGGTCCTGACAAAAAAGTACCGCTACACAGGTCATTATTTTTATAATCTCAAGTTCACAGAGGAAGAGGCAGAGGCAGAACAGTTAGATCTCATGTACATGGTTCAGCAGTCTACCCAGTACTTGGCCTGACTGATTTGAGACTGTCTGTAAAGATTTCTTTGTTTCCTACTTTTTGTGCATTTTTGAGACAATCTCATGGATCCCAGGTTGGACTCCAGTTTGCTACGCAGCCAAGGATGATCTTGAACTTCTGATCCTCCTGCTCCCACTGACCAAATGCTGGATTATAGGTGAACATCTGCACATCTAGTTTTTTTTTTATGTGGTGCTGGGGACTGAGCCCAAGACTTCATGCATTCTAGGCAAACATTCTCCCAACTGAGCTACAGTCTCTGCCTCCAAATTCTTCGGTTCTAATAAGCTTCCAGGTGAATATGTGATCCATGGTGGGACTTTCAGTGGTAGTGATCTATGACTGTTGCCTGATATGTGCTTTAAGTAGAAGAAATGACTGGTCACCTAAATTACTCAGCTGCAATGCTGATTCAACATGGGTGAAGGAACGCATACTCTTGCCATATCTGTGTTGTGATAACGTAGCCCTGAGGTCCCAGCAGGATGGCTGCAGACCCACATGGTCACACCCGCAATCTCATGGTAAGCTGGAGCCTTTTACCATCTCTTTCTCATTGCCACCATGGCCATGGTGATTCTCATCAGCTGTGGTTAATACTTTTTATTAAAAACAGCAACTACTGCAGCTTCCCAGAAATTGAATTTGTACACGTGAATATTTCTTTTTCTTTAGAGATGAAAGGAAAACATTTATTTTCAACATCAGAATCAATTTCCCTCCAAGGGATAAGCCTTGGTGCATGAAAGATAGCAGTGAAATGTGTGGTTCTCCAAACAGTAAATCTTATTTGCTCAGATTCTGTCTAGTCTTGTACAAACAGGTTCTGTGCGCAGAGGCAGAGTTAAGCTCCAAGAAGAGATCATTCAAAACAAGGCCCACTCCGTGGGAAACTCAACTGCTTGTAAGCAGTTCAAGCCATTAGGAGGCACGAGTGCACTTTCACATTCAGCTGAGCAGTGTACACTTTTTGAATACCTACTATGTGTCACACACTGTGTCACTTTGCAGGAGGTTATGCAAAGTCGAACTTTATGACTTCCAGTTTTTTGTCACTGTATAGTTATTTTTCTGTTGCTGTGATAAAAATAGCATGACCAAAAGCAACTTAAGGGAGAGAAGCTTAATTGTTCCAGAGGGACAGAATCCTCATGGTGGGAGGGTATGGCATAGTGGCTGGAACAGGAAGGGGAGAAGGAGAGAGAGAGAGAGAGAGAGAGAGAGAGAGAGAGAGAGAGAGAGAGAGAGAGAGAGAGAGAACGCACAGGACCCAAGGAGTGGGGATGAGATTATACATTTCAAAGCCTAACATCGGTGACACACTTCCTCCGGTTAGGCTCACACCTTAAAGGCTCCATAACCTTCCCAAATAGCACCAACAATTGGAGGCCAAGTAATCAGATATATAGGCCCATGGGAGAACATTTATCAAATACCACACTTACATTTATGAATTTGTGTGTGTGTGTGTGTGTGTGTGTGTGTGTGTGTGTGTGTGTGTACACATGTGTGTGCAGACACGCACCTGCTATGGCACATGTACAGCAGCTAGAGGACAGCTTGTGGGAGTTGGGATAATACACATGAGAGGCAGCAAATGCTTTAAGCTGCTGAGCCATTTTGCTGGGCCAAATCCGAACAAATTAATACTGTGATAATGCAAGCAGATTCTGGCCAGTATCTATTTCATTAACTATGCAAAAAGGATTTGTTCTGCCAATTAAGAGATCAACACATTTGTTTCAGTTAATTTTTGTTTTCATGGCACATGGAAGTCAGAGGAGAATATAAGATTCCTTGGAACTGGAGTTAAAGATGGTTGTGAACTCCCGTGTGGGTACCGGGAACTGAACCTGGGTCCTCTATAAGAGCAACAAGTGCTCGTAACTGCGGAGCCATCTCTCCAGTCCCTTATATTTTTGTAAAAAGCTTCTTAAGAGAGTAAGTGATTCTCAATAACTTACATGTGTTTCTGAAAGGTGTGTTAGGATCTTGCCAACAGGAACACTAATTGAGCAATGATGTTGATTGTTGTGCTAATTTTAAAAATTATTTTAAATGAAATGAATACTTTAAGATTGTATCCTGAGTAAAATGAGCTTAGCCAATAATAATGTACCAAGGCTGGCTTTTTGTTATGACAGATGAATCATGGTAATGCTACATTAACATTTTTAAAAGGGCATATGGGAACTCCGAATTACCTTTGTAATTTTTCTGTAGATTAAAATCATTCCAAAACGAAAAAGCCTATTGAAACAATTCTTACACATGAATGAGGTCCAATTCTCTAAGAACCTCTATTGACAACAATAGAAGCTATTTATTGAGCGATACTCCTGTTGGCACAATGCCCTAGACATGTGTTCACAACAGGTTATAAAGTAGGTATGGTTATTATCTTTATAATTATTATCTGTACAGTTTCCACTGAGCTCAGAGTGATTAAGCAATGCATCCATAGATGCACAGATAATAACTGACAGAATCAAGACTTGACAGGGACTGTGGAATCTCAAAGCCTGGGCTCTCAGGGACTCCACAGCCATGGTCTGCCTTGCCTTTCTGAGCCTGCATTCCTTTCTCTTTCTTGTCTGTCTCTCTCTGTCTCTCTGTCTCTGTCTCTCTCTTTCACTCTCCCTCCCTCGCTCTCTCCTACCTTCTTCCTCCCTTCCTTTCTTTTTTTTTTTTCAAGACAGGGTTTCTCTGTGTAACAGAGCCCTGGCTGTCCTGAAACTCACTTTGTAGACCAGGCTGACCTCGAACTCACCAAGATCCACCTGCCTCTGCCTCCTGAGTGCTGGGATTAAAGGTGAGCGCCACCACGCCCGGAATTATATTATTATTATCATTATCCTCCTCTTCCTCATTATTATTGGTTTTTCTCCCTGTGTTTCTTTTTGTGAAAAGAGCTTCATTTGCTCAGATTGGCATCCATCTTTCAGCTGAATTGATGAGACATGTAAACTGGACTCTTTGTATGGGCTGGAGGGATGGCTCAGTGGTTAAGAACAATTGCTGCTCTTCTAGAGGACCTGAGTTTGATTGCCAGCACTTACGCCATAACTCCACCTTTATAGGGTCTGACCCCCATTTTTGCTTCCATAGGCACCTGAAGTCATGTGTTCACCCCCTCCATAAACACATAATTAAAAATAAAGATGAATCTTGAAGAAGAAGAAGAGGAGGAGTAGGAGACAGAGGGGCAAAGACTTCTTCCTTCCAAGGAGCGTGGAATACTTTTAGCTCTCAGCCACAGGCCCTTTCCTCTTGGCTCCTGTCCTCTTTCAGCCATCCTGTTCTCACTGCTCACTTTGAGGGTTTGTTCTGGCGACCAATCACCTCCCAGTGGGCTTTCCTCCTGAATAGCTTACTTAGAAATGGAAGTGAATAGCATAATGCATCATGGTGCATGCATGGTACATGGTTCAGAACCAAAAAAGCCTCTGTCTGCAAATGGAGTCTGTATCAGTGCATTTAGAGAATTTGAGGACAAACTAAATGATAGTGATAATATTTTGTAGTTAGATATTTTTTAATGACCTAAAGATCTCTCTCTCTCTCTCTCTCTCTCTCTCTCTCTCTCTCTCTCTCTCTCTCTCTCTCTCACACACACACACACACACACACACACACACACACACATTTGGTACCTGCAAACCAGAGCCCCAAAAGGGATCTAAAATTTTTTTCCATTCTAAGCTGGGTAGTAGTGGCACACATCTTTAATTCCAACACTTGGAAAGCAGAGGCAATTGGATCTCTGTGTGTTCAAGGCCAGCCTGGTCTACAGAACTGTTTCCAGGACAGCCAGGGCTACATTGAAAAAAAAAAAAATCCTGTCTCAAAATAAAACAAAACAAAAAATTTCACTCTATGAAATCTGAATAATAGATTTCTCTAATACTACTAATAAGAATAAGCCCTACCTTATTCTTCAGAATGGAAATTTAAAACTTACTCTGCGCTCATATTGTAAAACTTTTATGATAATATTTCCTACAGTAGCAGATGATAGGTAACTGAACTTCAGAAATGGCAAATCCGGGATCTCCTGTGCCTCTCTCTCCTGATGCTGACCCTGTGATTCTCTGAAGATGCTCCTCCGTCATCTCCAAAACACTTTTTCTTCAGTCAGTACACTCTCCATTCCTTATTTCTTCTTTGACTCTGTCTCAAGCAAACCCAAACAGGCAGGGCTTGGTGGCACATACCTTTAATGCCAACATTCTGGAGGCAGGAGCAAGCAGATATCTGTGAGTTCCAGGCTAGCTTGGTCTACACGGGGACTTTAAGTAGGAATCTTGTAGTGTGATGCTTTTTTTTTTTTTTTTGGTCTCTTCACAAATGATTGAATAACTAGCCAGGCCTCAGAGACCCAAGTAGATGCTGAAGGGTATGCCTGAGCAAAGCTGTGGGAAGCTGCGTACAGAGGTGACTGTGACAAAGAACGGACTGTTGGTGACATTACTCGGGTCACCGCAGGCACCTCGCAAGCCCAGCCGGCTAGAGTGAAATGTTCTAAACTGAAATGCTATCTCCCATATTAAGAGTGAGTTTTTAATGTATCTTCTGTACACTCATAGAGGTTTGCTTTGTTTAAAGACTGAGAAATCGGGACTAGAGAGATCGCTCAGTGGTTAAGAGCACTGACTGCTCTTCCCGAGGACCCGGGTTCAATTCCCAGCACCCACGTGGCAGCTCACAACTGTCTACAGACAACTCCAGGATCCAACACCCTCACACAGACATACATGCAGGCAAACACCAATGCACACAAAATAAAAATAAATAAATTATATATATATATATATATATATATATTAAAAAGACAGAAATAAGTAACAGGACTTGGTGACAAGAACTCTTGGGTAGGTGGAAGAGGCTTTCCACCTAGTCAATGAAGGAGTTATTGTATATCTTGAATTTTGTACAAAGAATATTACATATTAATATTCTAAAAATAAGCACATTAAACGATTAATCTCTAACAGAAAACATATGATACCTTTAGAAAGATGTGACTATGCTGGGTGTGGTGGCACACATCTTTAGTTCCAGCACTTGAGAGGCAGCAACAGACGGATCTCTGAGTTCAAGGCCAGCCTAGTCTATAGAATGAGTCCCAGGACAGCTGGGGCTATGCAGAGAAACCCTGTCTCAAAAAACCAAAACCAAACAAACAAACATACAAACAAACAAAAAAAACCACAAGAAGAAAGAAAGAAACAGAAACCCATTTTACCATCACGAGGTCCCAATCGGGGAGCCTGGCTTGCCTGGGACTGTACCCAGAGGAAGATCCTTGGTTTGAGCAGTTCTCTCCCTGACAGATGCTCTCCAACTTGGCTGACGTTCAGAATCATCTGGGAGGCTGATTAGATGAGCACTTCTAAAGACTGTGCCAAATTCTGCATTTTGAACGAATGTCCTAGGAGTTCTGTTGCACCAGGAACCACTCTTTGAGAAAGCTGGATAGCTTACCCAGTGTGCCCTTCCAGACTGAGTAAGATGACTAAGTTTTACGACTCATGTGAGCTTGTCATGACAAAGAAGAAGAAAAGGGCCTCAGATCAGTGACAGTCAAGTCAAACAGAACAGTCCCCTCCCCGGACACACCAGGGGTTAAACAGGATGTGTCTCAGATGGAGTCTGCTAATGCAAACAAGATCTTGGGAGAAATAGCAATTTTTCCCTTTCATTCTGAACCTCAGTCGGCCGAGTTCCGGAAACAGTCCTGATTAGAGCATAATTGATTTGGGCCCAGAAAGCAGAGCAGCCAGGCCTGCACCCTGCCTTCCTGCTCCGAGCAGGCTGGGCTGCATCATCCAGCTCTTCACAACATTAACACCAATGTGCCATGACATGTGCTAAGAGTGTGTTCAACCTAAGGAAGGTGATGTAGTGATGATCATGCCAGCTGTACTATAGAGCGATGGTCAGGCATTTCTATCCAGCCCCAAAGAAGGCGAACAAAAAAGGGCTTTTGTTGTTGTTGTTATATAAATACTGACTTTGGTCATCCAGGATCTGGGGTCTTTTGCGGGTCAGGAAATGATGATTATGTATTACTTTCAAAGCCGAATCACTTACTCTAGTTTAAACAAGGATTTCTAAACACTTTACGCACATCATAGAGTGACTTTAATTCGAATTTATCAGGCATTGAAAGGACAAACCAAATAAACAAGAAAACCCCAATCTTCCCAGAAAGCTAGGAGGAAATGAATGAAGTCGGTGAAGAATGCCAGCAGGGGCTTCTGGGACAGTGTGCTTGGCTCCGCACTGTTGTGCTATGTGAGCTGATATCGAGCTGACTTGCAAAGGGGTCATCATCAGCCAACCAAGCACTAACTGCTTTGCTGAAAAAGCTTTTAGATACACACCACCAATTCTACTCTCCGAACCTACTGTTCACTGAGCTAGGCTTTCACAACCCAGTTATCAGAGAAGTGAGAATACCGTACCAATTGTATTACACACACATTGCTTGTGAGTTTACAGGAAAACATTGCTATCTTGTTATGAAATACTCAGCTGAGGAAGAGGTTAGTGCTTGACTCCAGATGGTTTCGTTTTGCTTGTTTTCTGTCTCAGTGTGCTTTGCAGACCTGGAACTAGTATCTTTCATGTCTTAAAAAAATAAGCCAGGGGTGTTGGCACATGTCTTTAATCCCAGCACTTGAGTAGCAGAGGCAGGTGAATCTCTCTGAGTTTGAGGCCAGCTTGGTTTACACATTGAATTCTAGGACAACTAAGGCAGAGAAACCCTGTCTTGAAAAACAAAACAAAACAAAACAAAACACTAAGGGGTTGGTGAGATGACTCAGTGGGTTAAAAAAAAAAAAGGCATTTGCTGTGCAAGCCTGGTGTTCAATCCCTGTGTGCTACATTTATGTCAACTTGACACAAGTTAGAGTCATTTTGGAAGAGGGAACCTCAATTGAGAAAATGCCTCCACCAGACTGACTTCTGAGCAAGCCTGTTGAGAAAATGTCCTTACCAGATTGGCTTGTGAGAAAGCCTGTGGCGAGACAGAGACTCACAATGTAGCCTTGGCTAGATTAGAACTCACTATGTAGACCCAGCTGGCCTTAAACTCATAGGATCTACCTGCCCATGCCTCCCAAGAGCTGAGATTAAAGGCATGTGCCACCATGCCCAGCCCATGGTGCATTTTCTTGAATGATATTGATGTGGGAAGGCCCATCTCATGGTGGATGGTGTTACCTCTGAATGAGCGGTCCTGGATGGTATAAGAAACCAGGCTGAGCAAGCCGTGAGGAGCAAGCTGGTAAGCAGCACTCCTTCATGGCCTCTGCTTCAGCTCCTGCCTCCAGGTTCCTGCCTTGCTTGAATTCACGCTCTGGCATCTCTGGGTAATGGACTCTGATGTGGAAGTATAAGAGAAATAAACCCCCTCTTTTCTTGAGTTGCTCATGGTGGTGGTGTTTTTCTCACAGTAATAGAAACCCTAAGACAGAAATTGGTACCAGGTGTGGAGTATTGCTGTGACAGACCCGACCATGCTTTGGGGAGAATTGTGGAAGAACTTGGGAACTCTGGGCTGGGAAAACCATTGACTTTTCAGAGCTTAAAGGAGTGTTGTGGGAGTTCAGAAGAGAAGACTCCTGAGAGAGTGCGGACAGTGGAGGCCGGGCTTGGAAAGTTTCAGAGGGAATTTTTGAGAGTTCCTTAAATACTCTGTGAGGTTATTGATATTTTGAATTAAGGACCAGTAAAGTGAAATGTTTGCTTTTCTGGGACAATCAGTACTGATGGGGGGGTGGGTGGGGGGCTGAAGAATCCATCCATGTTTAAGAAGAGACCAGCATCATTGAGACAGAATCTTGTGGGATATTTGTACACTGTGTGAAGATGTATTTCTATGACTGGTATAATAAAAAGCTGAACAGCCAAAAGCTAGGTAGGAAGTATAGGCGGGACTTCCTGGTTGTGGGGGAGGAAGAGAGATGAATCTAGGTGCACAGAGGAGATGCCAGGAGACTCAGAACAAGTTGGAGGTACAGAATGAAAGAAAGGTAAAAAGCCATGTGGTAGAATGTAGATGAAAAAAATACAGGTTAATTTAAGATATAAGAGCTAGTTAGGAACAAGCCTAAGCTATAGGCAGAGCTTTCAGAATTAATAAGAAGTCTCCACGTCATTATTTGGAAGCTGACTGGCAGGACAGAGAAAGACTTGATATAGAATCTTCTGGGAATTTTTTCTTCCAGGTCAGCACACAGAAGCTGTGGTCCAGAAGGGGCTAAGGTTGTGCTCTGTGTGGGCAGCTGAATTTGGTAACGAGTAAGAGTCACTGAGTGGTGCTAGGTTTGAAGGCATGAAGGGGTCATGGAGAGCAGCTGAGACTTGGCCTCATGCGGCAGGGCTGGAGTCCCTGAAGAAAGGTCAGGAGAGGCCACTGGTGAAGGTGCAGTAGAAGGTCCAGGATTGAAAGGATCACAGAGAAAGTTGAGGACTGGCCCCATATGGTAGGGTCAGAATCCCTGAAGAGAGCTCAGGAGAGGCTATCGGTGAAAACGCAGTTCAGCTGCAGCAGGAGACCCAAGCAATTTGGAGATGCTAGTAGTGTGGGATGACCACCAACGGTGGCGGCAGTCATGGAGTAGAGCCAGCCTGGGCCTATGAGACAAGGTGTGTGTGCTGTGGGTGGCAGAGCCCAAGAAGTGGGGCCAGCTGCCCAGACTGAGGATCCTGAGTGTGTGCCAGACAGACATCAAGCTCTGAACTATTTACGCTGTTGGATTTTGG